TGAATCAAGCTCACCCTGTAGATTCAGCTACCTTGGGGAAAGCTCCATCTAAAAGTGGATTAGAGCAAGGCATGGTGATACATGCCTGTAATCCCAGCACTTGGGAGGTAGAGGAAGGAGGATCACTGCAAGTTGGAGATCAACCTAGGCAACATAGTGAGTTCAATGCCCGACTGAACTACATAGTGAGACCATGTCTCACCCCCTCACACACACCAAAAAAAGTACATGAGGCTTTGGAGATAGGTAGACACAAACTATAACATCATCCATGGTTTACACAAGTAATATGAGTTTGCAGTTTTGAAACATTTTTTTGTTGTGAATTAAAGCATGAACATATTGAAAATTGTTAATTTCAGAGATGACATCAGTTTTGATCTTCAACATTTTTTCTTTTATAAAAAGTTGCACTATGTGTCCATTAGTGGTATGATTGATCTTTATAAATGTATATAAAATAAATTCCTAAAAGCCAATAGTGAAATATTTATACATATATGAATCTCATCTCAGAATGGCTGTATTTAACAGAGCCACATACACTGATGCTAAACATAAGAGCTTTCACCTTGGAAGAAAGCATTTTCAGAAATGTCACTCACATTCATTCTATTATATTAAATATTCCCAACTAAATTTCAAATTCATCAGATGATGAATAACAGAATTTTACATCTCATTTGCACTCAAAGCTTACCACACCCAAAAATTTACAGTATGATTACAACAAGCCAGTGTTTAAATAAGTTTTAATTAAAGATAACAATTCCATGAAAGAAGAGGATAAAAAATGGAATGACTAGAAGTGTTTGGTCTTAATAAGGCAAAACAAAATAGATCACTATCAAAAACCATTTCACTTTTAAAGATCAACAATACAAAAAGCATAGAGTGGAATATAAGAAAATAGTTTTTTACAAGTCTTATTTAGTCAAAGCTGTTTACAGTTATTCCCTCCCACAGTCAGAAAGCATGAATTTAAAAGAATAAGAGATGAGAAACACAAGCACACACAGCACATGGGCAGAGGAGGCCGCATGCAGAGTTTGGGGAGCTCAGCTTGCACTGCAACGGGCAGTGGGACCAGATGAGGGTGGCCTTGAGTTTCCAACTGGGGTATGAGGGAAGCGGGTGCGGGGAGAAAAGACTGCAAAGGAAACAAATGCAAAGTCACGTAATTGTCCATTGCCAAAGACGACGGAAAACAGGAGCAAGTTAGTTCTCAGAGATGACTGGAGATTTTTCAGTGCTTACACATAAGTACATAGCACTTTTTTTTATTAAAAAAAAGATCTTTATAAATGTATATAAAATAAATTTATAAAATAAATTTTATATAAAATAAATTTGTATAAATGTATATAAAATAATGTCATTTGCCACCAGAAACCTTTTCTTGAGAGAGGAAAATATTTTGAAGCAGGTCACAAAGGGTTCTCTGAAGTCATTTCAACGCTGAGGAAAACAATCCGAGTAATAGAACTAATCACTTCCCTAAATATGGATGTCAAGATGACAATTCAGATTATTCTTCACACTAATCCTGAGAAGAAATCTACTTACAATTCAAACAGTAATGGTGTGTAAAAAGTATTAACAAACCCACTATTACAAATACACATTTCCTATATGCTCTTCTATTCATACACACAATAGAATGATAAATATATGCAAAAATATTTTTTTAAAAATATGCACCGATCACTTTCCCCTTAGCAATGTGGACTTCCTATAAGACACTTCTGTTTTTCCACCCCATCCTCTGAAACTGTTTTTTATTTCTATCACCCTATTCTCTATAACTCTGCATAAAGCCGATGAGAAATATATGTACTTTACGTTCAAGTTTTAAATCTTAAAATGACCCTGTTGTGGTATACGACTTACCAAGGAAGCAGCTCCACTCCCCCCACCCCCAGCCCCACCCCGTTTGCTTGTTTTCTCTTTTGGCAGTTGTCTGTCTCCGTGATCCATTCCATGGCAAGCTGGGGGGAAACACAATTGCTAAATCAGTGCCTCAACAGTGTGAGGCTCTTGGATGTCTCCCTGTGTCTCTATCAACTGTCCAGATCCCGAGAGTATGGCACACGACAGGGTCCATCGCAGTGCCAAGAGCGTCCACAAAGGTCTGTGAGGGGCGCGTCCCTCTCTGCGCGTCCCTCTTGTCCTCCCTCTCCTTGCCAAGGTAATACTGATTATTGGATTTGCCTTGATGTTCTTTATTTGTCATCAAGAAACGATGGCTTATCTGAGTTGTACCTTGGAAGCCTTTGTAGGGATTTGCTTGCTTTTTTTTTTTTTTTTTTTTGTCTTTTTGAGACAGGGTCTCACTATGCGGTTCAGGCTGGCCTTGAGCTCACTTTGTAGCCCAGACTGGTCTCGAACTCGCAACAATCCTCCTGTCTCAGCTTCCCGAGTGCTGGGATTACAGGCGTGCACCACCATGCCTGGCCTTTTTTTTCAGTATTGGGAATCAAACTCAGGACCTTGCACTTGCCAGGCAGGCGCTTGTGCCCTGGCCCTTTGTGAAAAGAACCAGGCTCACATTCAGCCTCTTCAGCATCACTCGCGAAGGCCTTAATCATCCAGTGCACACCTCCCTCTCTGTTAGTTCTGTCCATGCCTCCTCTTACCTCACCACACAGCCCGGTTACTCCCTTCCACGCCTGAATCGGAAGGGTCCCTGTTCGGGCTGCCGTACGTTCTCTCACCAACAGCACCCACTGTGTTTTTGAAGAGTCCAAGCTGATTATTTTATAGAGCGTCATATATGCTAGATTGTTCTGCCTCCTTCCTTATCGTGTTACTTCACTTGCTCTCCTTGCCTCATGTGCTGCTGGTAAAAGGAGGTTACCTTTAAGGCCTCAGCAGCTTCAAGTTTTATATATATACCTACGCACCAAGGTCAAATGCTTTTGGCAAGAACATTTTGTGGGTGGTTCTGCGGTCTCTCTTAGAGCCACAGATGGTCCCACCACCGTTATCAATGTCATTTGCATAATAATAACACAGGGGTCTTCAGAACGAGAGCCCCAGTCCTTTTCAAAGTTTTTATTTTGAGACAGGGTGATGTTAAGCCAGTAAGTCTTCCAGGGTGGGCTTGAACTTATAATCTTCCTGCTACAGCCTCCCAGAGTGCTTTACAGGCTACCACACATGGCTCCCCTCACCTCCTGCCTCACTGTGCTAACTTGATTGGCCTGGAAGCTTCCTAAGGGATTAGTAAAGCATGCCTCGGGGTGTGTCTGGGTGTGTCTGGGAAGTGGGACCTTGGGTACTGTATATGGCTCCCCGCCCCTTCCTCTCTGACACTTTCCTCCAGCTGCTTCCAGGCCTTCATGAGCTGAGCAGCTTTGCTCTGGCAGACCCTTTCACCAGGATCACGCTGCACTGGAGCTAACCAGCCATGGACTGAACCCACTAAACCTCTGAGCCAAACTAACCCTCCTCCTTTAAATTGTGGGTATTGGTATTGCATCTCAGCAATGGGGAAACTGACTATTATATGTGGAACAATTTTTTGCAGCTTTGAATATGTATTCCAGTTATTATGTTTCTTCCTCTGCTATTAGATCATCATTTCCTTAAGAAAAAAGCCTATTACCAAAAAAAAAAAAAAAAGAAAAGAAAAGAAAAGAAAAAAGCCCATTTTACCTACACAATAGCAACAGGGAGCTTGGCGTTAAATATTAGATGGAAGACCCTTTTGCTCTTCATTAGCAGCTCATCAATGCTATGGGTGTGGAAATCAGCCCCCCAAGATCAGCACCCTCTCCCGCCTTTCTCCCCTCCTCTCTCCCTCCTGCAGTGCTGAAGCTTGAACCCAGGACCCTCCTACTGGGCTACGTCCCCAGTCATTTGTTAATTTAGGGACAGATCTTGCTAAATTATTAAATCTCTGAGCCGAGTCAAACTTGTGACCCTATCTGCCTTACATTCCCAGGGTGCTAGGATTATAGGCATGTGCCATCCATCCCTTTTATTGTCTTTTTTTCCTTCAAGCCCTGAGGACTGGGCTATCTAACCAGGGTTTTTCTTGTTTTTTGAGACAAGGTCTTGGTAGGTTGCTACATTCCCAGGTTAGGTTGAAGTTGTGGTGCTCTGGCCTCACTCAACCAGAGTGCCGGGATTACAAGCATCAGTTTGCTTGTTCTGGGTTTGTTTGCATTTAAAACACAGAGAACCAGTGGCATCTTTCAAGGTGAAAGGTTTATTTTCTATTTTTATTTGTCTTTTTGAGACAGAGTCTCGCTATGCAGTTGAAGCTGGCCTTGGGCTCACTTTGTAGCCCAGGCTGGTCTCGAACTCGCAACGATCCTCCTGCCTCAGCCTCCTGAGTGCTGGGATTACAGGAGTGCACCACCACGCCCGGCTATTTTCTATTTTTAAAACGTTAGCGATAGTTAATGATTGTGTCCACTTGAGTGAGAATCATCCAACTAACGTGGCTTGGTTTAGTTCTGGGTGGGGAAGGCCCACCCTAGGGAGGAGAGTCTCAGAACGGTAGAAAAGGGAGACAGGGCAGATCGCTCCTGTTCCTTCGGAGGCTCAGGCCTTCCCCTTCTTGGACGTTGTCTTCAGCCTCCATCGCAGACCCGGCGGCCTCCTGGTAGGACTCGCAGCGGACCCTGCGCTCTGCACTCTGGGCGGCCAGGGTGAGCCAACCCTGTGAATTCGACATATTTGTGTATCTCGGATGGAATGTGTGTCTCTAGTAAGCACTGACTGATACACTGCGTACACTGCTTTTCTCCATTTCACCCAATCAGTATCTCATTCTGCAAGACCCAGTCTTGCGGCTGGTTTCCATTTCACTTCCGTCGCGCTCGCTTCGCCAACACACACGTTTCATTCCTATCTCTGCAGTCGTTAGAATTCCAGACTTGCCTCCAACATGTTAAAGGAAGGCTGATAAAACACCTCATTACTCACACACACTCCCTCCTCCCCTTGCCCGGCTGCAGGCGGAGCTGTGCGCGTGCGGGCGCTCCGCCCTGCGCTGTCAACGCTCTGCGTGCAAGTCCCCGCGGGCGCTCGGCGGACTCCAGGCTCGGGGCCGCCCGGCTAAGGCGAGGCGCGCTCCCGGGCGCGGGGA